GTGGCCTTACAGCCAGGGGGGCTATAGGGGCCAGGGGGCTGTAGGGGAGGAGGTCTATTGGACCAGGGGGGCTATAGGGGCTGGAGGGGCTATACGGCCAGGGGGGCTATAGGGGATATGGGGGGGACTATAGGGGCTGGGAGGGCTATAGGGGATGGGGGCTATAGCGGCCAGGGGGACTATGGGGGCTGGGGGGCTCTAGGGGATATGGGGGCTCTAGGGGCTGGAGGGGCTCTAGGGGAGGGGGTTTATAGGGGCTGGGGGCTATAGGGGCCGGGGGGGGCCGAAAGGTGGGTCCCCCCCTCCCCTGGACCTGGAGGGACATGATGACACACCTGGAAGGGGAGGGGCCTGCTCAGGTGACCCCGAAGGTGTGGGGGAGGGGCCTTTCCATGCCATAACCAGGATAATTTGGGATAATTTGGGTGGGTGGGTGTCCCCCCAGCCCAGGGGGATTCCAGAGGGTCCTGTGGGACCTTCGGGAGGAACAGGACGGGGGAGACCCCCCGGGATGGGCTCCTGTTCCCCCCCAACCTCTGCCCGGGCCCTGCTCCCGAAAAAGGCAGGATGGGAATTCCCAGCCCTCGGATTCCGGGTGAAATCCAGCTTTTGGGGGGAGTTTGTTTGGAAGGGAGGTGCTGAATCCTGGTGGGAAAGGGGGGGGAAAGCAGGAAGGAGCTGCTCCTGATCCCAATCCCAGGGGAAGCAGAGGCAGAAAACCCCCTCCCCCTCTTCCCAAACCCCCAAATCCTCCAAATGTCCCCCAAAACCACATTTCCATGGGAAACTAAGGATTGAGGGGTAAAAGTGGGTCCGTGGAACGCTTGGATCCAGAGGTCCAGAGAGTTGGGAATCTTATTAAAACTGGCCTCTTCCCGAAAAATTGGTGCTCAAGGGAGGGAATACGAGGAGGAATTCTGGGGAATCCTCCAAATTCCTCCATCCCTGAGTCCTCGATCCAAGGGGGATTTTTGGGAGCCATCACAGAATCCAGAGGATTGGAAAGCTAATCCTAATTTCTGGGAATAACTGGAAATAAAAGGGTTCGTTGCTCCAGAATTCCAGGGGTTTGGACTCGTCCGGACCAGGTGCAGTGGGGTTTAATCCTGGAAAACAATGGGAATTCTCCAATTCCCACAGCCCTTCCCTCAGCGTTTGACCCCATTTTTCCTTCCTCATCCCGAATTTCCTCCAGTTTAAAAATGGAAAAAACCCTGGAAACCTGGAATTTGCATTTATTTTAACGTTCTCCCCCATTCTGACTCTCTCAGGAGCTTTTTCTATCCCGTAAAAAGGATAAATTGGGATAATTTGGGCCTTTATAGGGGACATGAGGAATAGGAGTCACGTCCTGATGGATCCAAGCGGGAGGATCCAGTTTTCATCCCGACTGGAGTTTGCTCAGGTGGGGGGGATCCCACCTGGACTCCATCCTTAGTTTCCCATGGAAATGTGGTTTTGGGGGATATTTGGAGGATTTGGGGTTCGGGAAGAGGGGGAGGGGGTTTTCTGCCTCCAGATCCCCTGGGATTGGGATCAGGAGCAGCTCCTTCCTTCCTGCTTTTCCCCCCCTTTCCCACCAGGATTCAACTTTTCCCTTCCAAACAAACTCCCCTCAAAAGCTGGATTTCACCCGGAATCCGAGGGGATGGGAATTCCGGGAACAGGGCCCCAACATTCCCTTCCCGAGGGGACCCAGAGCAGATCCCTGGGCGGGGTCTGGATCCGTCGGTGCCTCCTGCCCCCAATCCCGCTGGATCCAGGGGTGTCCCGGGAGGATTCCAAATCCATCTGGGGGTTTCCCGATGGGAATCCAGTCCCAAAATCCCTTGGCCCAACCTGAAGCCACAAATTGCCCCAAAATCCCAGATATTCCCATCGGATATTGGGGATTTTTGGAGCATTTGGGGATCAAGGGGGGTGGGCAGGAAAGTCCCCGAGGGACTCATCCCCAATCCCACCTGGATGACAGACTGGGAATTCTTGGAGCGTCCCAGGGCTTTTCCAAACTGTAGGGAATTTTAGGGAGGGATGGGGTTTTTCCAGGAGTGAATCCTTTCCGTAAAAAAAAGGGATTTCCTTTGGGTTTGGGTGAATTCCATCCCGGATCGGCCCCAAAGGGAAAAGTCGGGATGGAGAGGGGGGTGGAACATTCCCAAAAATTCCCAGGTAACGTTAATTAACATTATTTCTATGGAGATCTCCCCTCCGCAGGCCCGACACCGGGATGGTGCCGGGAACTCCTTTGGGATCTCTCTGGGATTTCTCCGGGATCGGAGGGTTGAAAATCCCCGGAATGCCATCCCGGTGATCCCTGTTCTCCGCAGGGCTCTCCATGCGCCCCGGCCCCCCATGGCCGCGCTCCCGGGCGCCAGGACCAAGCGGAAGCTGCAGGATGTGGATCCGGGATCGTCGGGATCGTTGTCGGGATCGTCGGGATTGTCGGGATCGTCGGGGTCGCCGTCGGACGACGAGGTCACCACGAGCGACAGCGGCGACAGCTGCGACAGCGGCGGCTCCGCCAGCGCCGGCCGTGAGTGGGGCCGGGAACCCGGGGGCACTTGGGGGATTCTGGGGAATTTTGGGGAATTTTTTGGGAATTTTTTAGGAATTTTTGGGGGGAATTTGGGGTGAATTTTTCAGGAATTTTTTGGGGAATTTTTTAGGAATTTTTTGGGGATTTTTTTAGGAATTTTTGGGGGAATTTTTTAGGAATTTCTTTGGAATTTTTTAGGAATTTTTTGGAATTTTTTTAGGAATTTCTTAGGAATTTTTTAGGAATTTTTGGGGAATTTTTCAGGAATTTTTTAGGAATCTTTTTAGGAATTTTGGGGGAATTTTTTAGGATTTTTGGGGGAATTTTTTAGGATTTTTTGGGGAATTTCTTAGGAATTTCTTAGGAATTTCTTAGGAATTTTAAAAGATTTTTTGGGGAATTTTTGGAGAGTTTTTCAGGAATTTTTTTCAGGAATTTTTGGAGAATTTTTTAGGAACTTTTTAAGAATTTTTCGGGAATTTTTAAAGAATTTTTAAAGAATTTTTTATTTTAATTTTCTTTTGGGGGGCAGATTTCTTTTGGATTTTGGGGGGAATGTTGGGGATTTTTGTGTAATTTCTTGAGAATTTGGGGGAAATTTGTTGACTTTTGAGGGAATTGTTGGGAATTTTGGGCAACTTTAGGGAACTGGGGGCAATTATGTGGCGAATTTGCGAGGTCTGAGCTTTTGAGAATTTGGGGACATTTACGGGAATTTGGGATATTTAGGGGGGAATTTATGTTTTTTTTTAATTTGGGAGGGAAATCCGGAGAATTTTCTGTAATTTTGGGGTAAGTCTTGGTGAATTTTGAGCAAAACTTCAGTGAATTTTGGGTAGATCTTGGGGTGAATTTTGGGTGAATCTTGTGGTGAGTTTCGGATGAATTTTGGGGAGAGCTCTGGCAACTCTTGGGGTAAATTTTTTAGGAATTTTTTTGGAAATTTTAAAGAATTTTTAAAATTTTTAAAATTTTTTTTCATTCTTTTAGTTTCCTTTTTGCGGGGGAGATTTCTTTTGCATTTTGGGGGAAATCTGGGGGGTTTTTTGGTGATTTTTTTTCTTTTTTTTTTTAATTTGGAGGATTTTTGGGGTGGTTTTTAATGATTTTGGGGGAATTTCAGCACATTCCGGTCCCGGTGGGGATTTTTTTGGGGGGAGGGAATATTGGGGTGTTTGGATTTTTATTTTAGTTTGTTGTGATTATTGTGCAGCACTTTGGGATTTTTGGGGGGGATTTGGGATTTTTTTGATGGAGTTTCAGGGAATGTTGGGGATTTTTGTTTCTTTTTAAAGCTGGGGGAATTTGGGGAAATTTTAGGGGATTTTTTTGGGAAATTTGGAGATATTTTTGGTTAAATTTTAGGGAATGAGGGAGAGTTTTAGTTTATTGAGTTTGGGGGGGTTTGGGGAAGTTTTTGGCTTTGAAGAAATTTAGGGAATTTTCGGAGGTTTTTTTATTTTTGTGAATTGTTGGAGGGGTTTTTTTGGTGGATTTTTTGAATTTTGTGAATATTGGGGATTTTTTGTAATTTGCTGAGAATTTGGAGAAATGTTTTTGACTCTTGGGGTGATTGTTTGGAATTTTTGATAGTTTCAGGGAATTTGGGGTATTAATTGGGGGATTGATTCAGGGAATTCGTGGGGTTTGAATTTTTGAGAATTTGGGGAAATTTGGGAGGATTTAGGATTTTTTTGGGAATTGGGGGTGTAATTTATGGGTGCGTTTAATTTGGGGGGGAAATTTGGAGAATTTTAGGTAGTTTGAGGGAAAATTGGAGAATTTTATGTAATTCTGGGATAAGTTTGGGTGAACTTTGGGAAATTTTGGGTGAATGTGAGGGAATTTTTTTTTAATTTGTAGTAATTATTTTTGGCATTTGGGGAATTTTTTGGGAACTTTTTTGGGGGTTGGGGGAATTTCAACCAATTCTGGTCATGGTGAGGATTTTTTGGAGAGAGAATATCAGGGAATTTGGATTTTTTTTGCAATTTGTGGGAATTATTTTGCAC